GTTTAGTTTGCCACTGTCTCCTCCTTTCTCTCACTTACTCTTCCCTCCCTCCCTAATTTCTGTTACTTGTGGGCATTTAAGTTTGTGATCCTTATTTTAAACTAGTGATTTTCAACTTGCTTTGCATTAGAATCACCTGAGTAACTATTAAAAAATACTGATACCAAGGTATCACATGTAGAAATTCTGCTTCAGTTTGTCTGCGGTGGAGCCAGGGCAGTGACATTTTTAAAAAGTTCTTTAGGTGATTCTAATGTGCACCCAGGCCTGAGAGCCATTTTTTAGAGCCATTCAAGGGGATGTCTAAAGGCATTCTCACTTTTGTCTCTTCCCCTGGCCTTTCCTATACTTTTACTGAGGCCTTGGGAATGACCCCTACCCTTCCCTTTTGACTTGGCCCTAGTGGTCACCACAGCTTCACCCTTTCAAATCAACTCCCCACTGTGTATTATCTGAGAAACCAAAAAGCAGTAGCCTCAGCTCATTCTGTGGTGAGGACAGTCGTAGCTTTCTTATTAATGCTTTGGTGACTGATACATTATTAATGAAATTTACTTCCTTTGCTAAAGTAAAGTGCTTCAGTGAGCTGAAAGGCATACATATCAGAGATTTTCTAGGTCATAAATGAGGGAGGTTGGAGTGCTGAAAATGCTGAGTCTTGTGGCTTCTAACTCCCACACCCAACAACCCTTACCAGTGAGTGTGAATGCACTGCTGTGACCAATATGAGAATTCTTGTTTTTAAAGCTTTTTTTTTTTTTAATGATTTGCAGGTACTTTATTCACATGCCAGCCTTGGAAAAAAGGCTACCATGGTGCTACCCTATTACCCAGCCTACCACTCAACTTTTTCATGAAGTTCTGAAATTGGTTGAACAGAAACAATGTGTAAAATGTTAGTAAGAATATAAAATGTTAATTAGGAATCAACTTAATATTTATAAGAACAATTTTTAAAAAATTTATTTAATATATGACTATCCCTGAGTCCTATAAACACAGATTTTATTTAAACGTTCCACCAATACCTCTCTAAGAGAAGTCTTTAAAGTTTTTTTATCTGCTATAAACAAAACAAAATATCTAAATCCATTCTGGCGTACATAAAGTGGTGCTAAAAACTAGTGTTTTTCTAGAAAAAAAAAGTTTCTAAAGACAATAAAACTGTATAGGGAACAGAAGCCCCTGGAGAGCAAATGCAGAAAGTGTGATCCGATGAGTTTTGTTGATGTAATTAATGGTGAATGGCACAAAGCCACTGAAACATCCAAATGGAAATTGCTTTGGAAGTATAAACTACAAAGTGATTAGAGAAATGCTGAGCGATAGGATGACACCCTCCTCCTGCCTCACCTATAAAATTCTAGTGACAAAAGTATTCGTGGAAGAATGAGCAGGAGAACACAGGCATAGGTTACAGAATATCAGTTCCTCATTTTTCTTGGGGAAAGAAGCTTGGACTTTCTTCAAAATTAAATGCATTCTGCCACTCTGTTTCAGCTCCCTGTGGGCTAATCTGAGCAGTCCCATAGAGTCTCTGTGAAAGAAAAATTGTCCATGAGTGGTTATGGCTTTCCCACAACCATTTTTTAAAATGTCGTCACTATATTTTATGGCAAAAAACTAATTTAATCTAACAAATACTTCACTTTGGTATCACTGTGAGCTATTGAATTTGGACTTCGAAGAAGGGAGGAACTAGGCTGTCCATTCAATTTACCATGACTTGGTAGGAGGATCAGAGAAAAATCTACCTCCGAAGAAAGAGCTCTCAACCCAGGTTTGCCTGGGTTGTGCATTGGAGAGAGAATTAAACTCACTCAGGACATTTTATTTCTGGTTCTTACTGAGCCAAATAACCAGCTATTTGACTTCAAGCAGGTCAGGTCCCCTTTCCAGGCCTCATCTGCTTCCTTCTGGCCTTTCCGTTATGTGGGAAGTTGGGACTATATGTTGTACAAATTCTTTTCCAGCTCTGACATTTCCTGCCTGTGACAAGACACAACATTCTAAAACAGGGTAGTTCATTGTTCTTCTGTCCTGGCTCAGTGGATGATTTCACAATGATTCCACATAATCCTGCTTTCTTTGGATCCCAAATTTCCCTTTCAGCTTTCACCAGCATCATCCCACAAAGTGTCCAAGCCTTCTCTACCACCACCCAACAAGGAGTCCACGTCTTCCATCCTCTACTTTGGGGGCACAGAGGGGAGGAAAGTGGTGTTTTTGAGTGTCATGAGCTGTTAGATGGGGGATTATTCCCCAGAGATGGTCAATCAGAGGAATATGAAAAGATTCTTGGGATACAGGCAAGTATCATTTCAAACTTGGCAAATGATGTATTGGTGAATGGTGGAAACCACAGGATGACAGCAAGATCAACTCAGCTCTGCCTCAGTTTCTAGGCAGTGCCCTGGCCCTGGGCTAGTAGTAGTGCAGGCTCTAGGCTTGGGGTTTCCCTCCCATGTGCTTTCTTGTCCATGTTGCCTCTCTTCTTCCACTCCTCTCTTTGCCCTGAGATATTTTATTTAATCTCTGGGAGCAAAAGCTCTGTCAGAATGTACCTGAATCTTTCCATGAGGGGCTAACGTCAGTGGCTTTTTTGAGAGCTAATAATTGAATATTTTTCACCTTGTTTTTCTTCAGTCGACTTTTTATGACTCATGTCTATTCATTTGAATAGTTGGGAGTGGGGTGGACCTGAAATTAATACTTTGAAGAATTAGCCTACCACAGTTCTTTTCTGCCGTGTGCTTTATGTTTGTATTGTTGCCAAAGGCAAGAAAATTACTAAACTGTCTCCACTAGTGATCAGACACGTTTAACATTTAATAACATTTTAACTAAATATTGACCTCAACAACAAGATAATTGTTTTTCAGGAAATTTAATTGTAGAAAAAAAATGAATATGAAAATCACGTAACTTTTTAAGAATACAAAAGATCACCAAAAAGACAAGCACACATAGCCAACTTACAGGCTACATGTATACATATACATATATATATATATATATGCACATGCATATATGAATGATAGGAGATAAGAGCATTGGTTTTGAGGCCAAAATGGTTGAGTTTAAATCCCAGTTCTGCACTAGTTTTGAACCTTGAGAAGTTACTAACATCTCTTATCTTCAGTTAAAGAAAAGATAATAAAACCCACTACCTAGGATTGTTAGGAGATATAAATGAAAAGATGTTAGTG